AGACGAGGGATGAACCGTATTCATCAATCAAATATTGCAAGTATCCAAAGATGTTTACTGACATAGACAAAGCAAGGGATGAACCGTATTCATCATTCAAGTATCATAACATCGGCGAAGCAAGGGATGAACCGTATTCATCATTCATCATAACATCGGCGAAGCAAGGGATGAACCGTATTCATCATTCAAGTATCATAGGGATGTACGTTCCGTAATCGTTTGGTCAAAGGTACTGCGAAAGTTTATAGTCCTCCAGCACAAGGGACTTGTGCACTTGGTACCGCGAAAGTTTAGAGTCCTCCAGTACAAGGGACTTGTGTTACTTAGGCCCGTAGCCCGATTTAACAAGGACCGTATCCTTTACACATAGTACTGCGAAAGTTTAGAGTCCTCCAGCACAAGGGACTTGTGTTACTCAGGCCCGTAGCCCGATTTAACAAGGACCGTATCCTTTTGTACTTTATACTGCGAAAGTTTAGAGTCCTCAGCACAAGGGACTTTCCGAGGATAACAATCAAAACAAGGCTATTTATTCATGCTTAGCAAATACCACGTCAAAACAAACAAAACGAGATTTATCAAAAGCAAGTGTAACATAGATTTATTAGAAATACCACTCACCTAGTTCTTCAGGTGTAGACTCAAGCAAATATCAAGGACCTAACAATCACATGGCAAGTCACATTCTCAAAGCAAGCTCTATATCATGCAAATGATCTCGGCATTCTTGCCAGATCCAAGTCAAAGACAAAGCAAAACAAGCTGGAAGCTTAATCACTGCTCCGTCTCATGAAAACACACTGGGTACCGTCATGGACTATGCCGAGGTCCCGCTAAACAAAGTCAGGAAAAACCTGGGTTTTCCTTTGAAGAATATGAAGAACATGATCATTTGAAAGATGGATGCAAGCTCACAACTTGTTACAAAAATCTGAGTTTTCATGCCAGAAGTTCAAAATATGGACCTGGGTACCCATTCGAGAAAGTCATGCAAGAACAAACACAAAATGGTTTTCGTTCTAAGCTTTTGGATCAAAACGAGATTTTCTTCAAGAACATATGGAAACCATTTTCTCTCTTTCCAAAACCAACTTCAAAACAATGCATGACATGCAACACAAATCCGATCATGCATGCAGCTAGATAATCAGCAAGAACAACTATAAGGAGATCAAGATTCTAACCTCAAAACTTGGATCCAACGGTTCAAACCACGAAGATCAAGCTTGGGAGACTTACTCTCACTCAAGAACTTCTCTAGAGCTTCTCTCTCTAAAACAAAGATTTGAGACAAGAAAATGATTTGCTTCAAGGTCTGCCGGCTGCCTTAACAATCAGCTCGGACACGTGGCGTTATCGGGTTGGTTCAGCTCCAAAAAGGTGATTGATAGACAAGACAAGTCTCTGACAAAGCGTATGCAGCAAGCTCGGGTAAGACACATCGGCAATAAGATGACATCGGCTCAAATCAAGGATCCAGCAACAGGATAACAAAACATCGGCTAGGGAGGACGACACTTGACTAAGCTGTGCCACACCTTGGCCGGGGTGTGCCACATCTCGGCCTAGGCCATACCTGCCCAAGGACAAGGTTCACTAAGTGCGAAACATCTCGGCAATAAATGCCCGAGGTGAAGATGGGGTTGAACAAGATCTCAAAACAAATCTAAGTACAAGGGTTCAAAGGCGGACTAAGCTCAAGATGACCTCGGCCACACACACACACCAAGCAAAGATCAAAATCATGCTAGCAACTTTAAGCAAATCAAGACAAGGCAAAACCTTCAAAACAAAATAACAAGGCAGGTTCATGCAGGAATGTATGCAAGTAAGACAAGAGTAAGGTGAGGGTCGTTACATGTTAGACTCGAAATTGTTACAACTCGAAAAGGTTCACACGGATGACAATATTTCGGATATGTTGACTAAGACTTTGTCAAGGGACAAACATTTGAAGTGTCGAACTTTGGCGAGTATGGTTGATGTCTCCACCTAAGTTGGTAGGGGAAGAATTGTTGGGTATACCTCCTTATTAGAGTATGGGACCCAGTTGGTTCATTAAAAGAATTTAATTTGGTTTGGTATTGGTTATAATATATTAAAAATATATTATATCTAACGTTTTTTAGAGGCATAATGGGTATTTTATAATCAATTTGGTAGCAATTAGGGTTTTGATATAATACCCAAGAATCAACAATATTGCTTTAGGATTGTTTTGTATTTTTCGAAGAAGGCAGCGACTGTTGGTGTGTGTGTGCTGGGTGATTCATCCTCGGTGACCGTGCAGGGTGCTTTTCAATTTGGTGTTTGATCAATGTTGTGGACTTGATTTGGTGATGCTGTTGCTATATTTGATTCAAAGTTGATTTGGGTTATTATTTTGGGTCATTATTTTGGGTCTTCTTCAACTCTGTTTCAAAAATTATTGTTCATCTATTTGGTGAGGTTTTTCCTCTTGATTATTTGTGATTATTTGAAATTCACCTAAGGGTGATTTTGTAAAACCATTCATGTCTCGTTTGTAATCGGTTGGAACTCTTTGGTTGATAGTGGAATCAGGTTTCGATCCCATAGACGTACCTCACATTGAGGGAACCACGTAAAATTCTTATGTCGTTGTTAATTTAATTTTTTCGCATTAGTTTTTATTCCCATTGATCGATTTACTTGTGGGAAATCATATATTTTCCCTAGCAGTAGAGAGGTAACGTAATCCAAAAAAGATAACAATTGTGCTTATATAGTACACTCCAAACAAGCACAAGTTATAGATCGAGTTTAGATAATTTTTAGCACAATTCAAATTAAGCCTACAGAACCTCTCAACTAGACCAAACTCGCCCAAATTATATCCCTAAAAATGAGTAAGACTTTAATTTATTAACTAAGACATTGAGCCTAGTTAACAAATTTGAGCATGCACAAGATGTGAAACTGGATTTCCCATTACTCTCAAGAGTTAATGAGAAGTATAACACTGTAGACTGCACATAGTTTTTTTAGTACTTTAAAAATTTGTTGGATAGAATTATATATATCACGAAATTGTTTGATTTGGATGGAATAAATATTAAATAAGATTTGAAATCTCTACTATATATACAAGTAAATGTAGTGGTTTTTAAAAAAATTCCAAACTCTCAATCCTAACATCTCATAGAACTCTTTCCTATGTGGCACAACCATTCTTCTCTCATTCTATTTTCCTATTTTTTTATATCTTTTTTATATTTTATATTTTACTTTTTAATTACTTAGGGCATGTCTATAAGAGATTTTCAAAATATTTAAACATAAAAGATGAGTTTGACTTTAATTCAAATTTCTTCATCAGATTTATGTCTTACTCAAGGATATTTCAAAAAAATAAAAAAATAAAACTTATAAATCTCAAAACCTAACTTCCATCACAATATGAAATTAGGCAAAAAGTTCGGAGAACAGAAATAGCACTGCAAAGAAATTAAACAGGTGATTTAATCAATTATGCAAGATTTTGGCATCTTATGTGAAAAGAAGCACATGTTTTAAATTTCATATTGTGTTCTTTTGCTCTCTTTTTCTTTTGCAAATTTTTTTATTTGTTTTAATTTTAATTTATTTGGTGTATTATTTATTTATTTATTTATTTATTTTTTCTTCATAATCTAAGTTAGTTGTTGAAATTATAATAATGTAATAGATGCGCTTATGCCTCCAAAATCTATTATTCATTTTTTAAAAAAAATTTACAACTACTACGTACAGGAAAAAAAAATAACAGTGGCAATGAAAGACTAAAAGACCAACACAAAAGAGTGATGCTTTGCAATGAAGTTGGAGTTCACACATTTTTTTTTTCTGAGAAAAATATTACCAATTGAGAATAGCATTTGGAACACATTCATGAGTTTAAAGGAAATTTTTGTTCAATTCCATTTATTTTTCATTATATTCTTTTCTTCAATTATATTAATTAATTTGTTGTAATATATAAGGAGGATACTCGATTTAAATCCAAATGTAACAAAACTTAATTATGTAACTCTACTATATTTTTGCTTACATTTTTATTTTTTAATAATTTGAGATATTTATGGGTTTAAATTTATTTCTTTGCATATATGTAGTGAGTACACCAATTAAGTAGAATTAGATTTTTAAATGATGAGTTTCTCTTTTGCAGTAAAAAGTCCTTTGCACAAAAGAACAGTTGAATCGCAAGATTGACTCTCAAATTCCTTAATAAATATACAAATAAACTATTTTATTTTCAACTTATAATAGTCATTACGTATAGATAACAAAAAAATCAATGTTTTTTACTTAATTATTATTTAATAGTTAATTTCAATTACGTTATTGAATGTCATGTAATTTTTAAATAGATTGGATTCAATAGGTGAATACTTTAATAAAAAATTGGTTAATTTCTTATAAACAAAATTATTATTTAACTATGTTGTGTTGAAATTATGAACAACTAGCGGCCGGGCACACGCGATGCTTGTGCAATTTCTTTTTGAATTATAATATGAATTTCATAACATTTTTTCTAATAATATATATATAAATAAAATGAGTAACTATGTACAATGTAACAATTGATATTAACGTATTTGATAAATAAAATATATGTACATTAAAATATGTACAAATCTTTAAAAAAATACAATATTTACTAATCTTAACTAAAAAATATGTACAACAAAAATTCATATAAAATCTGAATTTGGTAACATGTGACTGGAGATCCTAAAAATTCTACAAAAAAATATATAACATATATGTAAAAATTAGTTTGCTAATAATATACATTGATTAAATTAAAATTTTACGTTCTTAAAGTGAGCCATAATTACACATATACGTACTTTAGCTAATAAAGTACAATAATAACTTTTGGTTTTCTAATTGACTTATTATGTATAAAGATACTAAAAGTAATTATTGTATTAATTTTTTATAAACAAAATTAAAAACTTACATTTTGACATTGATTGACTTAGTCCAAATCACACGTCACGTTCAACAATCTCTTCAAATTGTCTTGATGCAATTTTTGCCATAGATCTATGACAACATTAAACTACAAAAAATAAAATAGAATTGACAAAAAATGAAGTACGTAACCTATAAGTGGATTACCTTGTAACAACGTTGCACATTTCTTTGTAAGCTTTCAATTTTTGTATCATTCGATGCATATAAAATTGAGGCAAAAATATCTGACTTCCTTGTAAGTTTATTGTCTGACAAATTTATGAAATCTAAAATTAAGTTGTAAATTTACAAATATGAATATATGGAACATAGTAGTAAACTTCATAAGACTTGATTTTTTACCACATATATGCCCATATTGTCTTTGCTGCATATACTTGCTCTATCAGATATGATAGGATTTCTGTAAAAAAAATAGTACGATAACTATTAGCAAATGTAACATTTTGAAATGATTCATATAAAATGCCACAAACACGTTATCATACCGATGTCGTTGTTGCCTCAAAAGCTCTCGCACAATTAATTTTCCCAATTGTTGTTTATCAACTTTAATAGAGACCTTCCATCGAAGACTGTATATGGAGAACTATTTGACTTACATTAATTTAAAAGGTACAGTGAAACTCAAAATTTATGTGAATGTTGTCAGATTAAATAGCAAAAATTTTACAAACATTATTTTTTGAACATAAGTGAAGCCAATAGATAATTTGTAACTTTCTTATCTGCAACCATATTTGTCTCCTCTTGATAATTCTCCCAAAGCTGAAGTAGTTTTATTTTTTCAAGTATTCCTACAATTAATAATTATATGAAGATATATTATAAGTATATTAATTGTAGATTAAAAAAATGACATAATACAAGCTCAATAAGAACATATTTAGTACATACCTCCTGTATAAATAATTTGGTAACAAAACATCTTTGTAGACTACATTGCGGGTATACACTATTTCTTCATTATTAACTGAACCCTTTTTAACCAAGACTTTCATTGTCTGATTTGACACCCCTCGAGATAAAGCAACATTGTCCATGACTAAATACATGATCCGGAAGGTAAATTCTCACATATGGAATTGTTTGACCTTGTGATTTATTTATCGTCAAAGCAAAACTAAGGCGAACTGGAAATTGTGTGCGAGTCATTTCAAATGGAAGTTTTAAGTTTTCCGGAGCCTTTAATGGAATGCAATGTAGGAAAACTCTCATGCCTTTGAAATGTCTTGTTAAAATCTTTGAATCTATGAAATTATCGTTCAAAGCTCGATACAGTAGCCTTGTGCCATTGCACAAACCAGAAGAAGGGTCAAGGTTCCTCAAAAGCATAATTGGGGCTCCAACTTTCAAATGCAATGCATGTGGGGGCATTCCTCCTGGTGAAATGGAATTTAAAAACTCTTGTTGATACAAAATTTGGGTATCATTTTCAACTTTATCAAATGAGTGGTATACTCTTGATTCTCTCGGAAATCTCTGAATGATTTTCTTATTGAGCTTGTCGACATCTTCATTGCGAGGAGTTATTATGCCCCTACTAACCATATACCCTGCGTCAAAGGAATGGTTTCTGATATCAGGATAAATTTCTTGTAATAATCGAACTATTGATTCTTCGCCGTTCCATGGTATTGCCATCGATGTTGGTACTTTGATTATTTCATCTACAATGGTAGGTTGTACACCATCTCCAACACGTAAAAGAAATTCACCAAACTGTGGGTCATTTATAGATCGCATATTTTGCTTTAAACGAAGTATTTGAATGTGACTCCAGAGAGATGATTTGACTATCGATGTAGCAATAGTTTCAGCTTTTGTACCTTTAGGAACAACTGGAAGTACTTGTCGAAAATCACCAACAAACACCATAATTTTGCCACCAAATGGATAATCAACACCAATGATGTCTATGAGTGTTCAATTCAAAGCTTCAAAATCATAACGATTCGTCATTGCAATTTCATCCCAAATGATGATTGTTGCACGTCTAATCAATTTTGCCAAATCTGATTGTTTAGTAATGTAATCAAAATTTTAAAACTTAATTTAAATAAATATATTTTATGTATTTAAACAACAATCATAGGTAAGAATTTTTTTCTATGGTTGTTGAATTTTATATTCACATGCATAACACGTGTCACTGTCAAAGAAATATTCAAGTCGTGTGCATTCTATGCATAAGACAATATTATTTAAAATGAATGATTATCTATATAATAAGGCAAGAGGCTTTTTGAAAATATAGAAAATGTATGAGAGATACATTTGATATTAACGGCTGAGATGCATCTTAAGTTTATGTCGATGGTTCAGATTGGTTGAGATGAATGATGATTGCTGTCTAAAGAAACCCACTCTGTTCCCCCCACCTGCCCTCTCTCTATCTCTCTCACTCTCACTCTGTTCTTCAACAGAAGCGAAGAAACCCACCCGACGCTCCTCCACGTCTCAACCCCCCTACCTTCCCTCTCTATCTCTATCTTTATCTCTTTCTCTCGCTCTCACTCTCTCTCTCTCTCTTTCACTCTCTGTTCTTCTTCTTGAACAGAAGTCCACCATCTCTATCACAACCGACGCTCCTCCTCCTCCTCCTTCGTCACGTCCCTCTTCATCAACCGTTCGATTTCAATTCTCTTCATCGACACCCACCCTCTTCACTACCGACGCTCCTCTTCATCGCAAGTTAAGATTCCCTTACAACCCTTTTCGATTTCAATATTGTTTTGTGGCTTTGATTTCAATATCCAGAAGAGTTGGGGCTTTGATTTTTGTTTTTCTAAACCTTAAATTGAATTGTTAATTAGGTATTTTCTGGATATCATTTTTAGGTATTTGGATTGCTCTAAAACAATTCTCCGAAAAACACCATTTTGGTTACAGAGCTCTCTGTATATACCGCTTCGCATTGATCTGTGAGTGTTTTTGTGTTTTCTTTTTTGATAGTGACTTCAATTCAATTGTAGGTTTCGATTAGTTTGTAATTGTGTGTATGTATAGTTGATGTGTTTCAAATTATGTTGATTTGTGTTTCAAATTAGTTTGTAATTGTGTTGATTTGTTTGTACCCAATTAGTTTGTAATTGTGTTTGTTTCGCATTGATCTGTTGATTTGTTTTCTTTTTATTGGGTTTTGAGTTTTAAGACTTAATAGAAGTAGTTTTGTTGGTGGGTTGGTGTCATTGGATTTGTTTGATGGAAACTTAGGAGTGTTTCTACATTTGGAGCTAATTTGGTGAGCTGGGTCTGAATTTGGAGGTGAATTTAGGATTGGGAAGAGGAATTATATACATTTTGGTGTGTTGTTTGTTGGTGGTATTGAGGTCTATAATGGTTATAATAAATCTGTTTGTTTATCATCATTATCATCAAGGTTTGATTGTTTATCTGGGTTTATGAGGTAATTAAATTTGGAGTTTTCAATCTATGTAAACTATTGAGGCAATTGGATTTGTGTTTTTATCAATCAACCAACACTTTTATGAAATAAAAGTTCTTACCAGTATTTATCGTGTGAACCTCAACAAAGTCTCTAGAGTTTCTTAGTTTGTTAATGCTTTGTTTGCCTGCCAAGAAAACTTAGAAAAAGAAACACAATAATAAAAGTAAATTTACTTTTTTTCCCCCCTGGTGTTAGTACGCTAACAAATTATATGAATTTCCATATCCCCATCCTCCTTCATGTCCTTTTGGATTCTTGACTTTTTGTTGGAAAATAGAAGAAAATGTGCAGAAAATGCTAAACAAATTAAGCCATTTTCAAGCATCTTCTCTCACTCATTGCACAAAGGCAGTGGCAGCCTGTCGAGGTGGGAACAAGCATAGTGGTGTGGTTATACACCTTTAGTGCAGATCATGTTTTCTTTCTTTATATATATGATATGATTTTTTCCAAGTGGGAATATTATTAAACTAACAATAAGGCTTATATAGTGGCATGCAGAGAATCATCGAATTTAACAAAAAAATATTTAATTTTCTTATTTTATTTTATTTGTCAAAGAATGAGTGCCTTAGCATTAGCACATTTCTTAAATAGATTAAGAATCAAAGATTACATTAGTGGCTTATTTATTCACCACTTATAAGAGATTTAAAAAAATTAAAAGGCAATTTCAGATCTAATTCCACAACTCCCAAATAGGTTGTAGGTATTTGTCACGACCCGAACCCGCTCCTATGGGTTAAGGCCATATTCGGCCAGTAATCACGAGATTACCTATGGCCTCAAATCAAACCTTTCAAAACTCATCAGAGTAAAGGGGGCCAAATGGAAGCAAATTTAAAACTTTGTCCATAGAGCTGTGCTTATGTACATATCATAACGTTCCATACATACATATGTTAATAACTCACAACAGAAAGTATAGTAACATAAAGTTCTATACAGACAGGATCATTCAAAACTAAGTCAGCCAAAACAAAGCTATATACAGACGTACACCAAAGTCCTCGCTAACATGACAAAATAACATAGAATGGCAGAAGGGCGAAGACGTGTCTCGTGCGTGAGACGTGAGGGCTGACTCTTCAAAACCTTAGTTGTTCCATACAGACTTCACTAGGGCTGGGTTTGGACTTCTCTTGGCTCACCTACAAACACATGAATGAGCGTGAGTGAAAGCCCAGTGAATAATATCAAATAAAGAATACACATTGGAACAATATACACCAAACGGCCTTGGGCCCAATTTATATTTCTACTAATACATACATGCATAAACATATGTAAGTTAAGTAACTACGGTTCCAAACGCATCATACGGCCTTGGGCCCAGTTCATTAGTGTCAAACTGTTATTCGTGTCAAAATGGCCTTTGGCCTTTTCAAACTTCCATATCAAACTGACCTTTAGGTCTTTCAAACTTTCATGTCAAACTGGCCTTTAGGCCTTTTAACTTTCATATCAAACTGGCCTTTAGGCCTTTCAAACTTTCATTCATGTCAAACTGGCCTCTGGCCCATTCATGCATGTCAAACTGGCCTCTGACCCATTCATGCATTTCAAACTTTCATTTGTGTCAAAACGGCCTTTGGCCCAACCATTCACATCAAAATGGCCTTCGGCCTAACCATTCACATCAAAATGGCCTTCGGCCTATTCATTCACATCAAAATGGCCTTCGGCCTATTCATTCATGTCAAAACGACCTTTGGCCCATTCATTCATGTCAAAACGGCCTTTGGCCTATTCATTCATGTCAAAACTATCTTTGGCACATTCATTCATGTCAAAACGGCCTTCGGCCCAATCATTCATGTCAATCGGCCTTCGGCCCAATCATTTATGTCAAAACGGCCTTCGGCCCAATCATTTATGTCAATCGGCTTTCGGCCCAATCATTTATGTCAATCGGCCTTCGGCCCAATCATTTATATCAAAACGGCCTTCGGCCCAATCATTTATATCAAAACGGCCTTCGGCCCAATCATTTATGTCAATCGGTTATCCATAATTCAAACTGGTAAACTTGTAAAGAAATAAGCAATTGGACAATTGACGAACTTCAAAATATTGACATTACTCACAGTGATCGGCTTGTGGATTTGCCCTGGAGCTTGACCCTACACATTCCAAGAACACAAAAGGGTCACAAACAATTCAATTCGTTCTTTAATTCACATATTCCTCTTTAGGCTTCATTCTTATCTCTTTATCTCAATTACAATGCTTAATGCATGCTTAAGAGTGCTTGCAAGTGAAAGAGAACGGAAAACGAAACACAGAACGATCACACAAAATTTTCAGAAACAGGGTCCCCACTCGAGCGGACCCATGAGGTCTCCAAAAATACTGGTTATGCCATTTTTACGCTCGAGCGTGTATTTTGGAGCTCGAGCGGGAGTCCATCCTACATAGCTCCCCGCTTGAGCGTGGACTTCTCCGCTCGAGCGGACATCATGCCTGCACAAAATACTGGGAGCACGAAATTCACGCTTGAGCGGCAATTTCCCCGCTCGAGCGGACATCAAATTTTTGGAAAATTCAGAATGTGTTCTTGAGCTCCAACTTCGAATTCAAAGGCTCCAAATGCATGATTTCGACTCAAACTTCACATATATGTGTACTAACATGATACAAACACTAAATTACAACATTTTGAATCTCAATTTCATAAATCAAATCCATGCATGGCTCATTTTCCACCAAATTCATCACTAACATAACAACTTCATGCATTCAAAGCTTCTACTTCCATGGGTTGTACATGCATGTGACATATAACCCTCATTCTCACCCCATATGACGAAAAGATGGTCAAATACATGGATTTCAACCAAGATTCAACATGAGCCATGTAATTTAAGCTCAATTATGCAAATTCAAGACAATTATATACATGCATGCATACATTGACCTTGAATTCAACATAAACAACTCAATTCCACTTCAATCCTTACTCTTGATCATTAATCCACCTTGAATACACAAAATTACACATTGAGCTCATGGATTCACTTACCTAGAGGCTCAATTCTTCCAATCTATAGCAAATTCTTGAGTAATCTTCCAAAATCTCCAAGCCTCAAGACCAAAACCTTAATCTTCTACACTCTCTCTCTCTCTCTATGGCCGGCCCTCTCTTCTTTCTATGAGTTTATGATCAGCCAAAATGCAACAAAGGAGGAGAAATGAGGGTGTAGTGCCCTTATACAACCATTTCCACTAATTCTATTATAATAATATTAAAGTAATTGGGCACAAATTCCTTAATTAAATCAGTTTAATCTGATCCGAATCAATTTTCAATTAAATTTCACCGTAGGTTCTAAAAATTATGCCAATCACAATGGCGCAATCAATTTTGGTTTCGGTGGCCGATAAGGCCTTCAATTTAATTTCCAAAGTAGACAATCAAACAGATATT